CCGAGGTACCACTGTATACTTTCACTATTACTGAATCAAGATAATTAATTAGTTAATATATTTTAGGTGAAATTAAACTGACACAAAAGGTTAGCAAGTAACTGAATGACAAAATTCACCAGCTTTGCAAACATAGTTTAGAATCCCTTCATGGAAAATGAAAGGTGTATGTATATATATGTATATGTATGTACACAAACACACACACACACACAGAGGCTATGTGAAACCTATGGAAATCAGTTGCAGAAAAGCTTTGAGTCACAGAGTGGTCAATGGAAAGACAAATGCTAAAGATCTCACTCAAATGTGGTGGCCCTACAATTACATATGTCCAAGTGGATGACCTCCTACAAGATGGTGAGAAAGACTACAAAAAGATCTTGGTCCTATATGGAACGAAATATACATATCTGTTGAAGTAAGTGACTCTGGGAATTATGGAACTGAAACCAAATGTTTCCAGAGATTATTGTGTAAAGAAAGATTGTTAACAATCTCTATTTGAGAATAAGTAATAGACTTTTTATGTAAGTTGTATGAAAAACTAATAAATTTGAAATCAGCTTTAATGTTAAACCAGACAAAATGAACATGGAGATGGAAAGTCAGAATTTTTTGGCTGATTTGATATCGTTTGGGGATTTAAACAGTGGGCACAGGAGCAGCCTCCCACTCTCATTCTTATCTCCTCAAAAATCTCCCCCCAAAAGGTTGAAGCTGGCCCCCAAATTATGACTCTGGGATATAACAATGGGAAACCCATTTGCACCCTTGATTAAAAAAAAATTGCACCAATGAAATTTAGCAGGATGATCTTGGGGGTGCTGTGAGTTGTAGTTGTGAGGCACTAGTGACTCATCCCTGTCATATGCTATACCTAAAAAATATGGTATAAATTGAAAAACAAGCTTCAAAATTTGCCCACAGGCAGTGGAATACCTTTTAGGTGTTTGAAATATAAATTAAAAATATAAAATACATAACTGAAAATAAAACAGTTATTACTGAACACTACAATAGGTTACAGAGCAGAATATTCACTCACAATTATTTCTGTGGTAATAACTTTTTCTACCTTAATGAATGACAAACCACAGCTATGTGAGTATGGAGCTGGGCAAGGAGGACTATTATCTATACAACTGTATATATCAAATATGTTCAGATTTCCTTAAAAATTTAAGAAAACTACCAAAAATATTACCCAATTGCATACCTTAAGCCACAGAGATGCTCTGGAGGATTTTGTTTTTGTTGATGGTTTTTTTTTTTTTTTACCAACATTCTTATTTTTCAAGGGTTGTATATTAGGCAGCTCCCTTTTTATCTCATGAAAAACCATAGTTAGTAGTTTCTTCACCTCAAACAGAATCTATCAAATGCTATATATGATCCACTTTTCCTTAAGCTCTCAGAGCAGAAAGATCTGAATGTTACATTATGGCATATCCCTGTGTATGTGGTTTACATGACTTTCAGCCCCAGCCCCTTGGAGGGGGGAAAGATTTCTCTATTTTTACACTGTGTGTATCCTGGGTGGTGCTTTTACTTATACTGACCACCAGGGAGCAAATCCTCTACTGACAATTGAATTCATAACACTCCCCAAAGCAATGATGGCACCATTCTCACAGGTTTGAACCCCATACAAAGGTCTAGTTACATATGTCTGATAAGTCCCAATATAGGATGAATTGGATCACATACTGCCTTCTGGTGATCAATGTATGTAAAAATACCTCAGACAGGTTCATCTTTTGCCATTAGGCATTTAGAGAAACTTCAGTTTCACATATGAACCCCCCAAAAACAAAACAGCATAACACATTTAAGTATAAATAGGTATAATAGGCATAAATACTGATTTTTAATGTTAAAATTGATGAACACTTTTAATAAGTGAGTATATTAAGGTTTAAAGCCTACAGCAGATTGCAGCATCTAGCTAATCTTGTTCAATCTTGAAAAGCTAAGGAAGGTTCGGGCATAACTATTACTCAGATGGGAGACCACTAAGATATCCCAGGGCTGTAGGCTAGAGTGGGAAGCTGAAAAAACACCCTAGAAGAAGGTGATGCAATTTCACACTGTTGCAAACAAAACTACACAGATATGTCTTCGAAAGTCATAATGAAGTGATTTTTCCTCTTAAGAGTTTAAAGCAATTCAAACATAAAAGGAGCTATATTGTAAATTTAGATAAAAGTGAGGTTCTTTTTTCTCCTAGACACTTACCTAATTCCTAAAAATTAAAATTTCATTTTTCAAACCAGAGTTCTAGGATATTGACAACAATACTAAAGACTGTTTAGCTCAGGAGTTAGCTCAGATTAAACAAAACAAGACTTCTGTCCAACTAATAAATTCTTCCCCTCTTCCACGCTTACAAAATTTCTAATTCTAGTATTAGATCCAGAACACAATCTCCAAGATATGGATGACCTTGGAGAAAGAATGTGGCAATTAGGAAAACATGAATTAAGCCTGGGAAAGGAAGAAAGCATTAGAAACTTAAAGTGACTTTGTCTTGACTTTCTTTGGTATAAGAGGAAAGGGATGGAAAACACTGTCAAGTTTTCAAGATTCTGTTACTATAGTCTATATCAATAAAGTAGAGTTCCAGTATTTATTATGAACTCTGTTTCTTGACCTGGTCTACCTCAAAAGGCAGACATACTATTAAAGAAAACAAGAGGCAGGGGGTATTCAAAATCCAATTAGAAATGTACAAACATGAATGAAACCAGGTTATTGCATATTTGAACAGCAACAAAATAGATTAGTATGTAATTAGGGAAAAACTTCAGTTGAGCTTCTGACAATAACATATAACAGCAGACTAGATTTGTTGCTTACCAAAGTGGAGTTTGAGATTCTTAAAAATGGAACTAAAATGGAAAATATGTAAACTGTGCTACCAAGTCTCAGTTCACCATAGTTTGACTATGAGACTTGGGTGCACAACAGGGCAGGGCATGTGTGGTACAAAAGGGAACTATTATTATCTTTATGCTCCTACTTTCAGAAACATCTAGCTTACCACATTTGAAAGAGAATGCTTTGCATAAAAACAGATAGCAAACACAAATACATGTCCAAAAATGTGACTGGCTTTGTTCCCATGTTACCACAGACTTGATAACCCAATTTTGGCTTTGTGTAGTCTATTTCCTTGCTTTAACTACAGGAAATTTTACTGTTGCTGCTTTGTCATTTATGGGCCAAAATAGGTCTTAACAGTAAAACCCATAGTCACATTTGTATTTTAAATGCTGGTAAGTGTATGGCACGTACAATCCATGAAACTGGATTAATATTTGCAAACGTATTTTTCAAGTTAAAATTTCCAAACTAGAACGTTTTTCTTGATATAATTGCTTACCTTGTATTTTCCTTTGATAATGCCTTCAAACAATCTTTCCTTTGTACCGTAAAAAGGTAAACAACCACTAAGCAGAATAAAAAGGATCACTCCACAGCCCCACACATCTACAGGCTTTCCATAAGGCTCTCTTTTTACTACTTCTGGAGCCATAAAATGAGGAGTTCCTACACGTCCTAAAGGAAAATTAAAAATGTATTGTTTTCAAAGATGTGGTAGAGGAATACAAATCAAAAATTTACATTGCTTTTATTTTATCATATTTGATTGATTTAGTTATGTGATTTATCTGCCACCTCCATCCTAGCAGGCCTCTAGATGGCGCACAGATACTGACAATTATATAGCAACACAAGTTCCAATAGCAATGTGCTCATGGCTGCACACTAATCAATCACACTAATCACACCAATCAATCAATCAATCAATCACCAAAGCCAGAACAGCCAGCTTCTGGAAGGCTATAAGAATGGAATGGATTTGGCTGGGGGGGGGGGGGCAAGCTATTTCAAAGGAGGGAGTTTCCACAGAAAATGTGATGTGTTCATGCATTCTACAATTGAGACATCAGTGCCCCTAAATGTTCTGTCTTACTTCATCTCTTATACTGATAGTAGTGACTGGAGATCACATCCACCTGCCATTTCATAGTCCCACATCTGGGCTACAAAGGCAATTCTGAGGGGGAGAGGTCCTAACCTTTCCTTCCAGTTGACTTAATTTCCTCTCAAAAATTCTTCTCCTGCACTGATTCTGAAACAATTGTAAAGCTTCACTGATATTTGTGTGTGTGTGTATGTAAAACAGAAAGAAAATGAGATAGACTGCACACATGTGTGAAGGAGAAAGCATATTGTGACCATATGCCTGTGGTAGCTTGTAGGATGTGACTAAGCTATGTAGTCCTGGCATGCTTGCCTGGAATCAGTTCAGTGTAGAGACCAAAATACCAGGCACTAACGTTCTTTACCCACTGAAGCTTTAGGACCATTTTCAAAGGTAGCTCTAACCACAATAATTTGCAGCAATGCAAATGGAGAATTACTACACCGAGGAAAGTCATCACTAGATCATAGTTATCACAGGTGTGCAAGATATTTTTAATTAAAAACATTCTGAACTTGAACACCCCATTTCAAGCTTGATACTATTGTCTGACCTTATCAGAATTGTCCAAGCCAGAATGGTCCCATTTTAAGCTTTAAAATGCTTCAGAAAAGTTCTGTTCTTTCTGGAGTTGAATGAGCCCATTTCTAACTTGAAACCACCGTTTCAATTTCAAAATAGATGTTTCTATTTTCAAACATTCTGCACACATTTAATAGCTACACACACACACACACACACACACACACACACTAAATTCTTCAAAAACATAATTCCTGAGTTAAGAGGAGTTAATTTGTCTGTGAAGCACTGGTTTCGTTCATTCTCAATAAGCCAGTTCCAAAAATTGATGTATTTTGCTTGATCAGGCTAGAATATGACAGTGCTAGGTTGTGGCCAAGACTTCAATTAAGGAAACTCACCTTTAAATAAAATTTGAAACATAATAAAATATTATATTATTTTATTTTATCTTCTATTTATTTTTCATGCTTAAACATGGCTTACATTGCAAATATTTGATGACTGTTTCTTAATTATCACTTGCAGAATATTTAAGTTACACAACTAGACTGTTCTTTCTTTTCCTTTCTTTTTTACGAACAAGCTATTGTCTTATATCTTCCTAAATTCATCCTTAGTAAATTTCACCCAAACTAAGAAAAAATGTTTACTGAACATGATATGAAATAGTCATTATTTACCTCCAGCAACAAGTCCTGATTCTCCTAATTGAATAGCAACACCAAAACCACCAAGTTTTACAGGTGCTGAATTTTCCTTTGAAGCAAGTAACACACAGTGTGGCTGAAATGACAAAATCACCCTGGTGTTTAATTAAAAACAATTTTATTATGGCACCAGAATATATATGTACAATAATCACTTATAGGGGGCAGGGTGTATCACGCATAGTTAAAATGCAGCTTGCTTGGTTTTGATTTTGCTTGGTTTTGTCTGATCTTAACTACTTCTGCTTGTAAACCATAGTTTATGACACAATGCAGTATGGAACCCAGCCACTGTGGTTCATTCAACAAAAATGGGTAAAACAAACTTGGCATCGTATGATGTGTGATCCCAGGTGTAGATACCCCATACCTGATCATGACACAGATCTTCAACAAATAATTATTTTTAATTTTCATAAAAACCTGAAACAGGAGGCCACTTAGCTCTATTCACAATATTGCAGGAATTAAATAAGCTCTTCTGCACACGTAGAAGTCTCCACAGAATTTGGAATCCTGATAATATAATGGTCGAACAAATTCATGTGTGGTGCCATAAGATATCTCCTTTCCTGAAGGAATTTTTATTTGAAAAACATAGGACTTTCATTACCACAATAGTTCATTCTGACTGGGATATCATAGAATCCTAATGGCAGTAATTTTCTTGAGATAATTATTTGGTGAAGCTCCATCTGAGTTTTAAAAATAAATCTATGCAAGGGCAGTTAAATATGTTTTCATGGATCAGAAGAAACATTTTATCCCAATATATTAGGTAGGCTCAGAAAACAACAACTGAATATTTTTCTGAGATATTTTCTGTCACAAGAACTTTTATGCTACTGAATACATACACTTTTATATCTTAGAATGGGAAAAAATGTATGCTAAGGGACTGAAATATGTAGACCCTGTTTACAGTTGTGCTAGTGTATAATAACTGTGTTGTACTGTAGGTCCACCATGTAAAATGCTTTACGACTATGAAAGAGAAAAAAAAACATACATCAGCAAAAGATTCTCTATATGCAGTCTTTTAGCTTATTTTTAAAGCAAGTAAAATAATATGACTGATTTTTATTGCTTAAAATATACTTTTGCAGCAATTTCTTTTAAAAAACCTTATTTAGTGAGTGTTCTTACTATTCTACAATTTGTGAACAACAGTGGATTCCAGGACCCATATGGCCCCTCATCATATCTGTCAATATTAATTATATCTCTAATGAACACATTTAACTATTGTAACTATTAGCAGTAATATTCTCAAGGGTTTATTCATTTATACTGTTGTGACAGATTCTTTTTAGGAAATGGTACAGACCATAGACAAGGATAGTTTTTTCCCCCTTGCTTTTGTTACAAAGGAGGTTTTATTATAAAAAATTAACAATCTTACTTAAACAAGATTTATAATAGCTATTTATTTCTTACTTTTATTACTATAGTTATAACTATTTATCTATGTGCCTATTTCTATATGTGCTATATATCTAAATCCTAAGGATTCTTATCTGTAATTATTATCAGTTTTCATGAACTCCTTTCTTTTCTCCCTTCTCTTTTATAGGCAGACTTGCCTTGCCTATACTTGTGCAAAGCAACAGGCTTAGTCATCCCTCTCCCTGGCTGCTTTCTCAGCTGTGGATTGAGATGGGTAGGAACTCCCCCACTGGAATTATAGCCAACTCTTGGCCACCTTAGGTTTTGCTGTTGGCTAGTGTTTTAATATTTTCAGCCAAGTGCCAATTGCTGCTGTCCTGAAGTGCTGCAGAGACTATTTATTTTTAATTGAACACTTTGAAGAAAATATATAAACAAGTAGAAAAAAGAACATAAATGAAGAGTAACAGAGTACAATAAATAATATTAATAAACCAGGGATTTTAAAAAGTCATGGAGGTTATGGCTTTCTAAAGTATCACTGGTAAGTTATAAGTAATTAGATACATTATATAGGTCACATTAAAGGACTAAGAGTCATTACTGAACCTAAGCTAAAAATAAGTATCAAAGACCATGCTCAACCCAATATAAAAAATAATCAAATGGAATTGTACACTGTAGTCATTCGATATTACTAAAAAACTATTTTGATTTAGCTATCTCATATAATTGAAATATAGTTTCCATGCATAGATATACCCAAATTTTGGATGCAGTGACAATCCCTGTTTTGGATTATACAACATTAATCATTTTTAAATAAGTGCCCATTTTTTAATGAGAATTCCTACGTATTGATGCAATGTTAAACCCCGATTCTAAGTCCTGATACTTCTTTTCTTACTCTACAAAATTCCATGTTAACATTTTTTTCTTCATTAATCTGATAACCTAACACAAGACCATATTGCTGTATACATTCCATTAATGTATTAGGAAGTCTTTTGGTTGGATAAATATAAGTACAAAATCAGCAGCATATAATTTCGATTTAAGTTCTTGAATTGTTAATTTAACTCCTGAAATATTGTCTTCCTGATATATTTCCATTGCTAATGGTCTTAATGTCAACCAAAAGACAAATTCATGAGTTTAGGAAGGGATTATGCTAGGCAGTAAGTTTGCTGGTACACCAGCAGGATTCCCAACTTCTCCTTGTTGCCCAATTTACATAACTCACACCCTATCAACCCAAAAGCAGAGATCCTAGTCATAGGAAAGGTGTGTGTTAAGATTATTTATTTATCATATTTATATAGCCGCCCATCTCACACAAAGTATTATTGCCATCCCTACCCCTCACCCCTGGAGTCAAGGTTGCTGAAGGTCCTGAGACCTGGGTGGGCAAATCTATTTAAAAGGATCACCCTCATATAACTAGGTTTCAGTAATGGATGCCAGGTCTCCTTTTTCAGCCAGTACTATTATCCACTATCAACAACTACTTTATTATGGTCTTAGATCAGAACTGAAATACTGTTACAAAGAATGAAAGTACTTATGTTGTATTTTAATTTAATAAAATTAGCAACTGTCAACTCCTTGTAATGGTATGTGAGAATGACCTTGGGAGACTGGGCCCAGAGACTTTGCTTAGGGAACAGTCAGATAAGAGACAGCATAGTCCGCAGCTGGATAGTGGGCGGGGCAAGAGGCTCAGAAAAGAATCTCTCTAAGGTCTGGGGATGTAGAGGAAACAGGGGGAGAATTGTACTTTCAGACTTGAAAGATTATGTTAATGTAGCCTTACAATAAAGTGGAATTAGCTCATCTGGTTGTGTTTCCTGTCTGGTCTACCTGGTAAGGCTGAAACTCCTAGATTATATCATGAGCTATCAACTTCTATGGTGGATATAGTAGCATGCTTAGTTCTGGTGCAATAAAAGCAATATTTAGACTCTGGTCCCTCTCAGCAAGTAAATAAATTTTTTCTCTATGACCTGGCAAATTAGTTGACATTGGCTGAATAAGTCTCAGCTGACAATCTGCATTAAACTTACAGTATAAATGGATGTGCTTGATTGTTTCAGTCTCCCCTGCTTCACAGGGACTTAATTTTTTGGAGGTTGAAAATACATGGCTCTGTACCCCCTAAGAAAGCCAAATCAAGGACATGAAAGTGGTCTCTGGAAAATGCCCACTGGTTCCTTAGATGAGAAATGAAAACAAATAAACTGAAGGGAAATTTTATGGATTTCTCTAAGAGGTTGATAGACCTTGTAGTTTGGCTTAAATTGTTCTGCCATTCTATGTCCTGAATTCACTGCTTGATTACCTCTGGCCAAGAAGGAGTCCAAGCCAGATGGATCCTGCATGGAGTTGGTAGCATATACATCCAATAAATAAATAAGTAGATAGATAGATATAGTAAAATAACCTGCTAAATCTGGGGCTTAATTCTGATTAACCCACCTTCTAGTCTCAAGGCCACATGTAGAACATACTGTATCTAGAAGTCATAAGAAGGGATTTTAGCAAGCCAACTGGAATTTGAAGAGATCCAGAAGTAAAATATAACTCTTACTACAGTCTGTATAATAATTGCGTTGCTAGTTTTGCAACAAATAATGGTGGGAGAAATGAAATTCTTTCCTGCATACAATGAAATCTTAACAATTACTGCAATACTCTTTTGTGCCATGTATTGCATAGCAGATAATTTCCAACTGCAATGAAATTATGCTAGTCATCTTATCTTTCAACAGCTGTTTATATTCAGTTATATATTTCAAATGTCCAGAAGCAAAACCACATCTTCAACTGATTTCTAGATGATTTAATATGGACTCCAATATGAATGAGAGTACTTGAGAATCAAAACAAGGCTATTTTCTTCATAAAAATCCAGAAAACGTCGTAAGTGTGAAATGTGAAACTCTCACAACCTGCTATGCTGCCACATTAGGACATGGGTGTCTATGTGTCTGTGTGTTCCTGGGAGGGATGAGTGAAGAATGTCAGGGGTGTGTGCCAAGTGTATATATTCCCAGCAGGGTCACTCAAGGCATGAAGGTCATCCCAGCTGCCCAGCTGAAGCAAGCAGGAACCTATATTAGGCAGCAGTGATATAGGAAGATGCTGGAGGCAGATTATCACTTTAGTGACAATGGCAAAGGCATCAATCATACTGTGTGGAAGAAGACAATGGTAAACCACTTCAGTATTTTTACCAAGAAAATCACATGGTTAGAAAATATAAAATGATTGATATAGTGCTGAATTATGAGCCCCTCAAGTCAGATGGCACTCGATGTGCTACTGAGGAAGAGCTGAGGATCTTTCAGAGTACCAGTGTGTTTAGAAATGTGGCTAGATTAAAGCATCTGGGACAAGTAGTTGCTGATGTTACCATGCAGGAAAAGAAAATCCAAAGCAGCAAAGTCAGAATTACAGTGGGAACATGAAACATGAGGAACATGGACATGGGAAAGCTCAATGCAGTGAAAGATGAAATGAAATGACTACAAATTGACATCTTAGGCATCAGCAAATTGAGATGGACTGGGATTGGATATTTTCAGTTAGAAGATCACCCTGTTTATTACTCAGGACATGAAAAACAAAGAGTAATGGTGTTGCTTTTATAGGTAGGAAGGGTATAGCAAGAACAGTATTTGGGTACAATGCAATCAATGACTCAATAATATCAGTTAGACTTCATGTACAACCTTTTAATATGACAACCATTCAAGTTTATGCTCCAACCATTGAAGAAGAAGAAGTTGATGAGTTTTATGATCAAGTTCAAATAGACATCCTCTATTTACAACAACCTCTAGTACTAGAAAATGAAGTTATTGTAGCACTCTGATCATTATCAAGATGGAAGGCTACAGAAATTAACAGAATATCTAAAGAGATATGTCAAGCAACAGAAGAAAAAACAGTACTTTGCCAGCAAATTTGGAGAAAGACACAGTGGCCAACAGACTGGAAGAGGTGAGTCTAACATACTAATACCAAAGAAAGGAGACTTAACAGAGGGTAGAAACTATTTTACCATATCATTAATTTCACATGCTAGCAAAATAATGCTTAGGAATATCCAATGCAGATTAGAGCCTTACTTGGAAAAGGAGACACAGATGTTCAAGCTGGTTTTAGAAAAGGTCAAGAAACAAGTGATGTTATTGTTGATGCACACTGGATAACTGAAAAAGCCAAAGGATGAGAAAAAGAAGTCAATATGTACTTCATTGGTTACAGAAAGGGCTTTGATTATATTGACCATGTCAAACTGTGGAATGTCTTGAGAATAATGGGAATCTCAGAACATCTCTTTGTCTTCAGAAGAAACCTATATACAGGATAGGAAGCCATAGTCTGGATAGAACATGGAGAAACAGACTGGCTCCAGATGAACAAAGGAGTGAGATAAGACCAAAATAACAGAGGTATAGCAGCAAACCTTAGAACTGACAATGAAAATACTGAAATGGTGGATAGCTTCTGATTTTAGGATCAACTATCAACAGTAAAGTAAAAAAAATAGACTTCAGACTATGGTAAAGTAGCAATGAAAGCCTTGGAAAAGATATTCAGATGCTCTGATGTGTCTATATCTACAAAGATCAGAATCATGCAGACAACATTTTTTCTTGTGACACTCTACAGAAGCAAAAGTTGGGCTTTGAAGAAGCAGGACAGAAAGAGAATCAACACTTTTGAACTTTTGGGTTGGAGAAGACTCTTGAGAATACTATGGATAGCCAAGAAAACAAACAAACGGATCATAGAACAAATCAATCCAAAGTTCTCACTTGAAGCACAAATAACGAGGCTCAAATCATCATATTTTGGACACATTATGTGAAGACCTAGCTCTCTTGAGAAGTCTATAATGCTGAGAAAAGTGGAAGAAAAGATAAGAAAAGGATGACCAACAGAAAGGTGGATGGAGTGAATTATAGTGGTGGTGGATACAGTATTGGAAGATCTGAAGGGCAGGTTGGGGACTAATCATCTTGAAGAAGGCCTATCTATATGGTCTCTAAGAATCGATACCAACTTGATGGCTCATAATAATAATCAAAGCAAGTTCCATTTAGTTTACTGGAGCTTACTCCCACATAAGCAGGGAATTAGACTGAAGGAAACTGTATTTTTCATTACTCAAGAATATCTTGTTCTGGCATGAATATAGGAAATTGGAAAGACTATTGAAAACTGGACTGAACACATTAAGAACACAAATTGCCCTTTCTTGTCTCCTGTATACAATAACATTTACTACAATTTCTTGTAACATTTTATACAGGGCCATTTACAGTGATAGTCACTGGCTTCAAAATGGTGAGCACGACTGGGTGATCAAAGCCCCACCCCTTTTTAATACGTGCCATCATTTTGAAGTCAGTGACTGATGCCCCTGATTTTATTATTTATCTTTATAATAATCCCGATTCTTTGTGTAATTATATTACATTGTATTTTATCTAGATACTGCATACTTTTACGTTTAAGTTGTAAGTTATTTGCCTCAATTTCTATACTGCACTTGTTCTGTAATTATACTACATACTTACAAAATATCTAGTTTCATATAGGTTACTCAACTGGATTATACCCCAAGCATTATTCATGAAATGATAGATACTGTAAACAGATAGATAAAAAAATAGAATTATTGAGTGCATCAAATCTGCATTCAATAATAGAACACACAAAGAAACAAACAGACTACCTGTACAACAAACACATTTCTATCTCTCAGATTACAGGTATGCAAAATGTTTTGAATTCAAATCATTTGAACCAAGCTGTTCTGATCATTTCAGAAGTTTTCAAGCTTGAAACAAAGAATCTTACACTAGAAATAGAGCTCAAAATTGGCTGCTTCAAATTCAAAACAGTTCACATTCTAAATGCTTTGTATATCTCTAAAAGTAACCTTTTAGAGGATGCAGAAATTTCAAGGTAAAAAAAAACAAAACCAAACCCAAAATAAAACCTATAGTATTGCTAAATATATTATGCTTTCGTTTGAGCACTTCTGAATGTTACCATGTGAAATGTTTCAACCATTTTATTGATAACGTCTGGGATTCCGACTGTCCAAAACTGCAAATTAATAGGTGTTCTTGACTGAGTAAAGCAGAGAAACCAAGCAACAACAGGTAATACAAATGTCAACATTTGTTGGATAATATTTTTTTCCTGTAATAATATGACTTACCTTCACATCCCTGTGAATTATATTATTATCATGACAGTAGCGCAGTGCTTCCAATATCTGTCTCATGTAATGACTGCAAAACCAAACATGCAAATAAAATTATAAGCACTGTAAAGAAAAAATAGGCATAAAGTTCAGGTTGTTTGGGCACTATATTTTAGAAATTCAAAACAGAATATCATCATAGCCTTTATTTATATTACATGTGTTTTGAAACCTAAGGCTGTAACTTACAAACATTTTTTCCCAGGAATAAGCCCTGTAAGATAAAGTAAAAATTGCTTCTAAATAAGTATTCATAATATTATGATGTTATTTACTGGTCAGACTATACTCAAGAGTTCTCTGAGCAATAAATAATCCAAACAAATAAAATCAAAATCTAACAGAACAATTTAATAAAAAATATAAACATCCTTTTGACAAAGTATTAGAGTTGAAATTAACATACATTTCAACCACAGTCATGTAGTTTAAAACAAGACAAAAACAAGCTAAAAAGACAACATAATGCCATTGGGTATTGTATTTAATTAATTTAACCTTATTTTAAAAGGCCTAAATAAAAACAAAACTTATTTTCCTAGTGTTGAAAGGATAGCGATTGGCATAACCACCCAGAGTCACTGAGAGCCAGGAGGCATATAAATTATATTATCAGATGAAAATCTTTAGAGAGGGCACTCCCTGAAATAAAAACACTGCTATGAAGGCCTCTCCCCCAGAGCCATCCTTGTATTTCAAACTGTGGGGAACTTGATATATCCAGTTGTAGGATGAAAAGAAAGTTTGCTTATGTGTAATTGTAATTTTTGAATGGTCATTTGTACATTAATAAAAATAGATAAGCTTATTTTATGGAGGTAGAGCAGGTACCTGATCAGGAGAGAAGTACAGATAAAAATGCCTGGATAAAGACTGCATCTGCCCTGACTTAGTGTAAGCCACATAATAAAATAATGACCTTTGCATATGTAAAGTGTAGGAGGAGTGATCCAGATCCTTGGAGAGTTTTGGCAGAAAAGACTGAAAGATGGCAGGAGAGATTGAAAATGGCTGAAGTCTAAAAATGGAAGAAAGTATGCAGCACCAACTCATAACTCTGAAATCAAGGTATGGTGCACCAACAGGCAAGGCACAGTTCACTAACTCAGTCTGCTCATGTGAATGCCACCAAATTGCCACACTGATTGTGACAAAACTAACATTAGAGATTCAGGGCTGTTTCATAAATAGGAACTACTGACAACTCCATGAGAGAACTAGTGACTGACATAAAGTAAAGATTGTAAAGGCTTTCCAAGAAGCATTTCATGCTCAGATGACAGAATACTGGGTCATCATCCACTGGTAAGTGGTACAACAAAATGTCTTCTAAGTAAATATGTATGGAGAAGAAAGCTAAATCTATGACTTTAATGACAGGAGAAACTGAAAAAGTGCTTGTAGAGGAAAGGATCAAGTAATGTTCCTCATTGTTCAAAAAAATGCAAAAAGGCAAGCCAATTCTTATCATTAAGACATGCAAGTGAATAGCTTATGCACAGCACTCATGAATCTATTATCTCAGCTGAGAAAAAAAGAACCATATGAGCCACGCAATCAGAAAGACTTGAGGTTCACATTATAAACTTGGTTCCAGTGTAGAATAGACCTTGACATCAAGAAATTTGAAGGTACAGCACATGAAGAAGAGTTCTTTGGGCCTCTATAAGATTACTAAGATACATGATTTGTGAACCATCTTTGTCGTATGCTGAAAAGTGTAAGGGAAATATTATCTCAAGTCATGGAGGAATGTAATTCTTTGGGACTTGGACTGTGTCCCCTCTATTACAGAATCAAGGACAATTGGCGTTTTCCCAAGTCACAAACATTGGCAGATGCCAATCGCTAGAGAGATAATGGACAACAGTTAGAATGAGACTCCACTCATATGGGACTTCTGCCATCCTCCTGAGAAATTCCAAGTTGTTATCTGTACCTGGAATATGGACCACTGTTGAGCTTTATGAGCCAACTGAGACATACATCATCACACTGAAAACTATCAACTGTTTGCTGTAACAAACCAGTATTGTAGTGTTGTCAGTACAGGGAGACCTTGCTTAACGACTGCCATGTATAGCGACTCTTCAAAATTACGACAGCACTGAAAAAGTAACTTTACAACCTGTCCTTGCATTTATGACTGTCACAACATCCCTGCAGTTATGTTACCAACATTTGGGTGCTTCTAACCAATGGGCATTTACAACCATAGCAGTGTTCCGCAGCCATGTGATTGCCATTTGCATGTTTCGCAGCCAGCTTCTGACAAGCAGAGTCAATGGAGAAGCCAGTGGTAAAATCGAAAGTCATGGTCATGTGATGTCTTGCTTAATGACCGTGGGTGATTCGCTTAACAACTGCAGAGGAAGTGAGGTTGTAAGTTCATCATGGTCACATGATGTTTCACTTAATGATTGTGTTGCTTAGTGATGCAGTTGCCGGTCCCAATTGTGGTCATTAAATGAGGACTATCTGTAGCTCTCTGGATCACTTCAATCTGAAGGACTAGTACAAAGGTCTTCAGAGTTTTGAATAGAGGCAGGAATTCGTGCCAGTTGATGCCATCAAGTTGTTTTTGACTACTAGCGACCACATAGATAGCTTTTCTCCATGATGGTCTATCCCTAACCTGTTATTTCAGGTCTCCGAACAGTACAGTCACTGCCACTGCAACTGAGTCCATCCACCTGGCTGCTGGTCATCCTCTTCTTCTCTTTCCTTCCAACTTTCCCAGCATTACAGCCGTTTCCAGAGAGCTGGGTCTTCACATAATGTGTCTGAAGTAGGATAATTTGAGCCTGGTCATTTGTGCCCCAAGTGAGAACTTTGGGTTGATTTGTTCTATGATCCATCAGTTTGTTTTCTTTGCTGTCCATGGTATTCTCAGGAGTCTTCTCCAATACCAAAGTTCAAAGGCATCAATACTTTTCCTATTTTGCTTCTTTAAAGTCCAACTTTAGCTTCCATAGAGTGTCACAGGGAGTATCATGGCTTGAACAATTCTGATATTTGCAAATATAGACATATCACAGCATTTTAATATCTTTTTGAAGGCCTTCATGGCTATTCTACTGTGCTAGTCTGTGGCATATTTCTTGACTGCTTGTTACTTTACTGTTGATGGTTGATCCTAAAAAGCAGAAGGTATCCACCACTTTGATATCTTCATTGGCAATTCTACAGCTGGTTATTGTACCTGTTGTCATTAGTTTGGTCTTTATATTTAATTTTAGTCCAATTTTTTCACTGTGCTCTTTGATTTCTAGTAGTAGGGCTTGCAGATCCTTTTCATTTTTGGCTGTCAGGGTAGTGTCATCAGCATAGCACAGGTTATTGATGTTTCTTCCTCCA